CAGTACACAAATTTTAGTATGCATTGAAAGGAAACTTACAGTGCTCTCTTCGACAGTACATATACTAAAAATTGAAAGGAAACTTACAGGCAGAACTCCAACTTGAGGTACTGTTTAGATTTGCTGTTCAAAACAGAAAAAAGATTCAAAAACTGCAAATAAAAAACTACTATCATAATGCCTTAGTTTTCCAGTCTGTGAAACATGGATAAAAATTGTGTCTACATCATAGAATTAATGAATGAAGTTTTCAGAAACAAAAACAAACAAACAAAAACATAGTTCTTAGAATAGTGTCTGGCACATAGTGAATACTCAAAAAATGATGATTGTCATTGTTGTTATCAGTATTAGTGTTGGTCTTACTATTATATTAACTATTATAATAGTCAAGTCTGTTTTGGATATGTTAGGTTAATAAAGTAAAACAAATTTCTTTTCTGAAGGACTTTGGTGTTACTAAGATTCATTGTTATTCTCCAAGGGACAGAGTTTGCAGTGTTTTCCAAACTGATTTTCACCATGGATTTTTTTGTTTAACTGCTATACATTTTTCAAAACTAATGCTAATGAACAGGCTTGAGGAATATAAATAAGTAAAAAGAGAATTACAAAAAGAACGTTTAAAAAAGATAATAAACTTGTCTTTCTACTACTATCACTGTAGTAAGGAATCTTTTTTTCTCACACAGAGATTTGCATGGTGGAAGAGTTCTTGTTCTAAAAATCAAGCGACTTGCCTATGTGCACCAGCTCCCTTACTTAACACTATGACCTTCGCCAAGATACTTGACTACTCTGCTTCCACATTTGTAAAATTGTGGTGGTCACCTTGCCTATCTCATAGGATTACTGTGGGGATTAATGGAACAATCCTAGTAAAGCATTTGACAGATGCTATCCAGTTAGGACAGGGGTTCTGCTCAGGGATCCTGGGTACTGATGGGTCTCCATTGCTCCACTCCAACCGCAACGGGCTTATGATTTTCTGATGCTGAGTTTGACACGAGAACCAGGCAGACGCAAATATCACAAAATATTTCTACCTAACAATATATCATTGCTAATACATGAGCTGTGACATAACAAAGCATTCTGCTTCTCAGGGCCTTCATGACTGAGCCCAGCTGGGACTATGTCACTACCAGGACTTTGGAGCCAAAGGAACCTGCTCTTAGATATCCTTTATTTTCCTGACTTGCATGCCTTTCCTCTGCTAGATTTCTATATTCGTGTTTGTTTTATATCCAGAAATTAACATAAGGCTCTTAGGGTTTAAGGAGGGGAAAAGAAGAGAGTTCTATCTGTAGCTAAAGAGAAATAATAAAACAAAACAGTGCCCCAACACTAAACACACAATTAATATCAACTTCTAGCTAACCTTCCCACCCAAGAGTTTGTGGCACCAAAATCCTATACAATTTAGGGGTGATTCTGTCTGGGGAAAAAAGTAAATATAAAATATAAATTTATGGAAAAATTAAAGCAGACACATACAAGTAAGCTGTGAACCATAAACTTCATTAGCATTGCTCTAAATCCATTCAAGAAAGTTGGGAGTGTAGCTCAGTGGTGAGGCCCTGGCTTCAATCTCCAGCACTGCAAAGAAAAATCAATTCATGGGACAGAAATATATGTCCCTGTCGTCAAGGGCTTTGAATATAAGGGAAATAAGACAACATGTAAGAGTTTAAATAGCAATAAAAATACATAGAAAAAAGCTTAGAGTGATACGTGAATGCTAGAAAGCAATATATAATAAATTTCTACAGGAATGGCACAACTAATAAGAATTACAAGAATTCAAAAGAGAATCACCATGAAACTGGATTATCAAATGGCTTCACACAGGAAGTGACATTTTAGGTCAAAAATGGAAGATTCACTTAAGCAAAAAGGACAATTTTATGTCCAGAGGTTCAAATGGAGCCTCCACCTGTCCCACACACAATGACCTGGCTTGTCATAATATAACACCACTCTGATGATTTCACTCTACTTTTGTTTCAGGAAGATTTGTAGCTTCGTTATACTTTTAAGGTGAAGCTCAAAGTTGTTAGATGGACATTTAAGGTCTTTAATCGGTTATTCACAGCTTATATCCAATTAACATCTTTCCAGAAACCCCTGTCCTAACTGAACAAGAACATGAGACATCCACAGCAGGTGCTTACAAACCAGTGGCTTCAAGGAAAAGTGAGTGTGTAGGTCACAGCGATGGCGAACTTTTGGAGACCGAGTGCCCAAACTGCAACCCGAAGCACACTTATCACAATGTGCCAACACTGCAATGAAACCTGAATATTGAGGTTTTAATTTAGAAAAACCAACTGTTATCTGATGCTCCACTGCTGAGGCAACTTGGCTCACATGCCGACAGAGAGGGCTCTGCATGCTCACTGCAGCACAAGTGCAATAGGCTCGCCGCCACTGTATGAGCTGGTAGGACAAGCTCATTCATTAGATGTGTAAGTTTTAGAGTAAAGAAAGAACATATTCAGATTTTTGTGTTCATAAAGATGCTTTAAATATGGCTTCAAAAAATTTCAAACAACAAATTTATATCAATTAAATTTTAATAGCTTAAATGAAATTTCTTTTGCCAGAATATCAGCATATATTGGGAAGTTTTGATTTGAAATCAAGAGGCCTCAGTTGAAGACACAGGTAGGTTTAAGAGAGCTGAATACTGTATCTCTCCCAGGCAGAGTTCCAATACAGTTTAATTCCATGAAACATCACCCTATTTTCCCTAAATTACTTAATGAAATTTATAAATTACAAAAACATAAAATACCTAGAAATAAAATCTTTCTTCAAAAGATATGGCTAATCTTGTAGAAATAAGCATCACAATACTGCTATGAAATTCAAAGTCCAGTCTTAATTTGTAGTTCCTAGAACTATAAAGAACAGTGTCAATTTAAACTCAGCGATGCATGCTTTAGAAATACCACTCAACACCTTGACTAAAACAATTATCTATATTGATTACTTGGACTAACATTTTCACATGGACTGCTAATTAATCTGCTTCTTGGATAATTTTCCTAATGCTTATCAGATGTATGTCAAACTCCAACATCTCAATTCCAGCTCACACAATTTTTTACTCCAGTTTTTTGTGTCATTGAATTTCCAGATACTTGCTGAGTAGCATGAGATATTTGGAAACTGAGAGGAGTAACAGATATAGTAAGAAAGCATTGTCATATATTATAATGATGTTCTTCATTTTTCTCAGCTTTGACACTCAAAATAGAAAACCTCTCACCTTCTTACTCCAAGAGTCCATTCAAAGGTTGTCCTGGTGCTGGGGGCCATCGAAAAAAGGAGCATTTACTTGTATCAGTAACCTGTGAGCCCCAGGCTTAAAAAGTAGTGTGCACAGGCCTGTACATCACTGCTGTGCTGTCCCATGTTGGGATAATTCTATACTTCAGTCATAAAAATGAAAAAAGGAGAAAATACCATGATAGAAGTACAGCAGTGTATTTTTTGTTCTGTTGGTCTTGGTACATTAAACTCAAATAAAAATTGTCTGGTAATATCCCCAAGACAATTAATACTTCATACATTTTGAAGAATTATATTAATTGTAGTATAACACTTTTGCCTATAGAAAAATACATACAAAAATATTTTGAGGAATTATTTTTTGAAACAGGTCATTATACAGTATTACAATGTTTTTCAAAAAAAAAAAGGCGAGGCAGGATGTATCATGTACAGGTACAAATTCCCCATGATGAGTGTTATCATTGTGTATATCTAAAATATATCAATAAATGTTTTGCTTACAAAAAGTTTAATGACATGAGTTTGTTCTTATTCATTCTATGAATACTTACTGTAATATTATTCACACTGGGTCCTGCAGAGGAAATTCAAAGAAGTTAAGGTGTAATCCTTGCCCTAGAAGATACTACAATCTTTATAATTAAAAAAAATCTATATCTACAAACTAATGAACAGTTTAACAACTCATTGGTTAAGAATGAGGTAACTGGAACACAGAGATAAGTATAAGTTGGAGTAGTCAGAAAATATCTCCTATGTTGGTTCTGGAACCTAAGCATAAAAAAAAAAAAGGAAAATACATATGTTGGCCAGAACTACTGTATCTTGTGGATAATTATTTTGCCTACTTTAATTTCAAACTTTCAGAAGGGTGAAAATGACATAAAATAATCAGCTCTTAGTGCTCATATTACATCTAAGCCAATGATTTCTGTGTATTTCTCCCAAAATATATTAGAATGTTGTCTTACCTAGGTATACATTAAATGCTTAGCAAGTGCTAATTATTAGTGAAATAATCATTTATTGCATAACCAGGTCTTTTCTGTACTAGATAATGGAACTACAAAAACAAGATATATTCCTTGTCTTCCAGCAACTCATAACGTAATAGAAAACAGAGCTGTAGCCAACACCTGAGAAGAGTGTGGAAAATGACATAATGCATGCAGTATGGACACTCAGTACCAAGCCTCTGGTTCTGATAGTTGTTCTGATAGCAGCAAACTCAGCAAAGACCTCAAAAGATGTATAAGAACACAACAGGAAAGGAAAAAAGTATAGGAAAACAGTATATCACAATGGGAGGAAAGAGCATGAGCAAAAGCCAAGAGTGGTGTGAGAAGTGAAGGGAGAGGATACAGAAGGTGCGTGGGGATAGGCTCTGAGAAGTGATATTAAAGAAGGGTACCAATCATGGAGCCAACAATAGAGTTTATGCTCAAGCCAAGTAGAACACAAGGGTTTTAAGTAGGGAATTTACTGGTGTGGTTCATGTTTTAGAAAAATTACTCTGAAGTACGAATAAAAGAACAAAAATACTCTAAGAAATTGGAAGTGTTGTTTTAAAACCTATTTGTCTACCCTAATGTCTCCTAACTACATTGGTAAGCTTTTATTTTCAAAGTTATGGTCTTTATTTCAAATGGTTCTTATGCAGTGCCTGTTAGAGAAAAGGGTGTGAAAGAATAAAATTGATGTCAATTCAATGAAATTCTTTATTCTGTCTCTGTAACATAATACTTCTTGAACCTCCCAGTGTTAGATACACTCATGCCTTCTCAATTATTCTTTTCTCATTATGTAAAGAAAATTAAGCAAAATGATTCTGACTGAAGGAGAAAAAAACCAAATATAGAGCCAAGAATAAATTACTGTAAGCAGTGAGTGCTATAGGTTTAAACAACCATTTAGAAAATTATCTTATCATAAAAAGCAAAAGAAATTTACATGCACAAAAGTTTAAAACTCCATGTATTCATTGTATGATTGTTCTTCTGCTCCGTTATCTCTGAGATACTTTTACCTAGAAAAAAAGATGAAATCATTTTTAAAGTATTATGTTGAATTATTTTTTACTTTCTTTATAAATAGATTATGAAGTCCCTATGAATATCCATATGAATATCCCTATGAAGTCAAAGGTGTTCTTTAGGCAGCCTGCAGATTTCAGAAATATTCACCTTTACTAAAAATTCACTGTCAAAATAACATTAAGTTTACTAGGAAATTTCATTTGTTTTGTTATATAGTTCAGAAATATCAACTAAAACTTCATCGAATATAATAAAATGAATATGTGTAGACAAGTAGCATATTTCTTTAATTTTACATTCAAATATTATCTGGAATGAAAATTTTTAAGTGAGCTTCCTGTTTTATAAAGCTTTTCTTATATATAAAGTTTACGAGCAAAAAACAAAAATAAAATACACAACATATACAATCTTGGACACTCTAATGTTTAATCAATGGCAAAATTATTTTTAGCCCTTTCTACAATAGCTTGATGTTTATAAAATTCTCAACTACTTAAAAGTCTGCTTCCTATTAAATTCGTGGAATTTCCATTTGATATCAGCACTACATAATACGGAATTTGATCTGATGACTTGATTTTGGTGGGTTGTTGTTATTGTTTAAACCAAGTTTCTATAAAGGAGAATTATACCACCGATAGTGTGACAAAAGTGTTTTTTGACTAAAAATGCTATGATACCTGAAAAACAAAATTGAATTTCCCTAAACAGGAAGAAATAAACTTCTAAAAGTCAGTAAAAGAGCACTGTTCAAAAAAAAAAAAAAAAAAGAGAGAGCACTGTTCAATAAAAAAAAGCACATAGTGCTCTTTTAATGGGTATGTTTTGTTTAGTTGTGTAACCTTTTTTTAAACATATTTCTTTTTTTTAAACTCCCTTTAGGAAATTCATCAATAATTTTCAAATAATAATAATAGGAAGCCAAGTTGCATTAAAGTTTGAGCCGAGTTGTTCCAAAGTGAGGCATTTTTATTTCTAGATTTTCCACCTCCACTTATAAGACTTACAGAGACTTGTGTAATTATATTGGGTCAATAGAATCAATGTAAATACACAGTGTGGATAACTAGATGAAAGCTCATGCTATATCATTTCTTCAATTACAGAGTTTTAAATTTTTGCTCAACTTATTTCAAATAATTTCCTCTATTTTCTACCTTGGAAATATATATAAAACCTGAAAAAGTCAATAATTCATGCAGGCTTCTCTAGCCAATTTTTCTCCTCATAAATTGGTTTGAAGTTATTTCTTTCATATTTAATACTAGTACAAGTTATGATTCTTTTTCAAAGATTGTAGTTGTAGATGGCAGAAAAAATCTTAAAATTAACCTAGTATCACTCTTCTTGTGGGAGAATCAGCTTGTTTTATGAAGTATATGAAGGGACAGCAAATAAAATTATTAATTTTAATGAGATCCAAAAATGGCTCATATCATTTTACATGTATATTAAAATTACTAGGATGATTTTTTGAATTCAGGAAAATAGACATATATAGATAATAAAACAAAATTGCTTGGAAGAATAAAAAGTGATGTTGTTTGTAATCTCAATTTATTAATTTATTAATATATTTGTAAGCATGTACAGTATATTTTCTAGCTAATCTAGTAATTTTATGTAATGTCACACATGTATTATGTTTAAATAGGACTTCATACATCACAGTTTTATTCATTAAATGTAAAATAATATTTAACTTTAAATGCATCTTACTTGTAAGCAAGGCATAAATCACAGAAGGAAAATGAGACCTAATATTATAACAAAGTGTCAAAAGAACCTTTTAATTAAAAAATTGTATAAAGTCTCATATATATTTCTAGCAATTAAAATAGTGATGAACTAGATACAATATCACAGGATAATATAAATGTGAATTTGGAAAAGAAAACATTCTAAGATCTTCATTGAGCTACACAAAATTATAATACTATAAAGCTTATCCCACTATTGAACAAGGTGATCTCTGAAATTACAAGGTAGTGAATTCAGAACTATAAAAAGGAAATATTACTTCATAACCTTTAGTTAACTTGTAGCTACAGTTCCACAGAAGGTCATAAAATCAAATTCTGTGGTTGGATTTAAAAGCTGGATAATTTTATAGCCACTCATAATATCAGAGTTCAAGCTCATTTCTTTCACCAACTAGAATAGAATTTTTTGATCATACATATGAATATACTACGAAGGAATAAGGTAGGTGGTATGAGGTGTTGTTTTAAAGGTTAAATATTGGTTGCTTGGAGTTAAGTGACACTTTAGTATCCTTTCTAACATGAAGAGAGTAATGAAGGAGAATAGAGACCACAGGAAGCAGTCTTTGTAATTGCCTATGGAATCTGCCCATCAATTTTCAGACCCACATATACAATAAGCCCACATCTGATATAAAACTATCATCAGATGAGTGCTAGAATGTACATTTCCTAGTTATTTCATTTTGGGTGATCTGCCATTTCCAAAATTAAGCTTCGCTTTTCAGAATGCCTTTTCTTCTCTGCATGAGGTGTTAGCTTAGGATAGTTCCATTATCATCTGTTTAAAAAATACAAAATAAAAATGTCATTTCTAAGCAACTTTTAATTGCTCTTAAACATATATTCTGTTCATCTTTAAACATTTTTTTAATTGCCACTTCCTGCATTTGTGCCTTTGTTCATTCTGCCTCTGCCACTGGAATGCCATTCCCTGCTCCTCTTGCTTCTTGATTCCAGTTTCTTCATGAAGTTATCCCTGTTATTTTCAGATGAAAATAATACTTAAATCACTCTCCCCACCCACCATATACACCCAAAATGTTGGATCTGTATTTTTTATATTTATGCATTTCTATCTTATTGTAAAATTACAGATGAATGCATTTGGCTTACTCCTTGCTTACCTCTTGCTTTGCAAAACTGAAAAATCTTGCAAGCAGGAGCTGTATTGAAGTTATACCTAATGTGTTTCTCAGCACCTCATTTAATATCCTCAGTGTGCCAAATGTTCACATTTATGTGAATAAATGATTAACTGAATTAATGTGGTTTGATGTGTATATGGATGTGTGCTTCCTTGGACAGTAATGTATGGAAGAATTACTTTTTGGCATACCTGTTACCAATATCTTTATATAATTGTTACCTTTCATGTACCAGCTGACAATTATTTTCTTTCTTGCTTGCTTTTGAAATTTGCAATCCTTCAAAATTATAAAAAGAAAATTAATTTCTATAAAAATACCATTCTTAGATCCAGTATGAATATGAAAAAATAATGCAATAAAAATTATAAGTAAAAGATTGCTGAGAGTGTCCTTATTTTAAAAGACTTTTATGATTGTTTCTGGGTAGAGTTGAATGAAGCACCAAAAATATCATTTTGTTAACCTTCTTCTTCCATCTAGTGGCAAAAAGCAGTAAGAAACAAAGTTCTAAAAACAACACCATGATCATATAGTTATAAATACCATTTCAGGAAACATGTATGTGACAGTTCAACATCTAACATTAAATTCTAAGTATATACTAATTATTTTTTAGATTAGCAAATTGGCAGTGTTTTGCTGGGAAAATTGTCAAAGTTACTTAAAATCATATATGTATTTGCACGTTTTCACAAAGACTTCAACTACCTTTATATCACTCTGTGTCAACACTTCACATTAAATTGGATGGATTTGTTTGGGAATACACAGTTACGTATCTGGAACAAGTTGTTGGAGGACTACTTAGAATTCTATTATTTCATTAGCTATGGACAAATATATGGCACCCAGCAATTAAAAGTTTTAAAAGGTACAGCTGAGAAGCACTGAAATTGAACTCATTGTAATTGCCAATTAGAATACTTTCACAATAATAGGCAGTGAAATACTTTATGATCTGAGAGACACAGGGTCAATTGGAGGAGCAGAAAGAGGCAAAGATTAAAAGAAGGTCAAATCAGTACTCTGCAGTTAGAGCTGCTTGAAACATTAATAAAAAAATCATATGCAATATATAGCATAATTGTGCATTCTCCAAGGCCACCAGCTTATCCCTAATACATGAGATTTGATTGTCCTTCTAATAATTTCTATTTGCCTCATTGCAAATGTAATTAATATTTTAAAAGTCAAATGTGTGTTGTGCAGAAATGGAAAAAGAAAATCTCTAAGACTGAAAGCTCCTTTCCCAAATTGAGTGCATCCATTAATAATGTGTAATGGTCATAAATTAAGAGTGTCAACATTTTTGAATATATTAAGACTATAAGGGGAAATCTATTCATTAATATAATGATTATTTCAAATGAAATATTTTTATTAAAAGAATCTACATGTGTTTATTTCTTAATTTTTAGGAAGAGAAAAACTAATACCCTCAACCCCTAAAGCAAGTTTGAGTAGAGTAGGATTGTCTATTGGTTTCTCTCCTCTCCCTCAAATGGGAACAGGCTCTAGTTTTTATTTTCTGCTACATATGAGATGATTGTGGTAGAAATAGGTCAGCAGGAGAAATAGGTGGTGATAGAAAGGAAAGGGTAAGGCAAAGAAGATGAGATCACTGGGCAACTCTGAGAAAAGAGAGAAGCAGGAGTTGGCTCCACTGTCACCCGTGTTCTGGTGGCCAATCTTGCTGGAGAGCACCAGGAAAGGGAGCCAACTAACTGAGAGATTGTGGAGCCATTGCCACTGTGTAAATGTACAAGCAGCCAACAGACTCCAAAGCCTTACCCATTTGTTACCACTTGGCATGAGCAAGAGCCAGAACAGGGATAGAATCTGGTGTCCCCAAAGGAATGCTAACCCCTGTGATGGAACCTAACCTGATCCTCATCATTTACTCGGCAACCTAGTGTCCCCACATTACAGGCAATGTATTTCAATGTGCTTTTACTAAAGATAGAGATTTCTGGTATTTAAATTTTTTTCACAATGAAGAAAGTGAATTTCAGGCAAACTGTCTACATCATCACTGGTGTTAATATTTCATTCATTATTTTTAAGGACAAAAGAGAAAGATATACAGGAGTAGGCATAGGAATGAACATTGCAGTACAGCTTCTTTGGCTGGAGTCTCGGCTGTCATTATCAGCTCTGTGAGCTTGACAAGTTACACAACAATTTGAGTCTTAGTTTCCTCATCTATAAAATGTGGAAAATATACCACATAAAGCTGGTATGGATTAATTACATGAGAAAATGCTTATAAAGTACTTGACAAATAATAGCCAGTGCTTAATAAATATGAAATATTATTGTTTACAGGGTATATAATATATACCAAGCATTTTTGCAGTGAATTATACTTAAAATAACATGAAACCTAACATTTACATCCTATATGTGTGTAAAATAAATTTAAAAGAGCTCCCTTTATTGCAAACAGTTCCTCATCATACCTTACCTTTGTAAACAGGCATGGTGATTTTTTTGAATAAGTTTCAAGCTGCCTTCAAGTCTATAGGTAGCCAATAAATAATAATAATTAATATTAATATGTGTCTGGGTTTTCTTTTTAATTTCTTAGAAAATCTTACATGAAAAGTTCAAAGTTTTTGCAAAAAACCTTAAAGAGCATAATTTAAAGCAAAAGGAGCAAATGGGCAAATAAAAACAAAATATTTCTCATTAAAAACAATCCTTGCAAAATCAAACCTATTATAAATTTCTAACATACAGCAGTCTGTATTCTGTATGATACACAACCCTAGAGAATTTAAAAACAAAAAGTCATTCCAAAGCACTCGAGTTTTCTGTCTTCATGTAAGGCTGGATTAGAATGACACTGAAATATGATTTAAATTTTTTTGTAAAAACATAAAGAACAGGGGCATATTTTCATATTTGCATAGAATACATGCAATATTAAGTGCCTATTCAAGAAAAGAAACTTTGTTCTTTCTAATTAAGGAGAAAGTAAAAAGAAACTGCCAACATTTTCATATACTGCCTCTGAGTGATGATACCTACTCACTCTTGTTCACTCTTCTGAAGCCAACTTAAAATTAATTGGTGACCTTTCAAATGCAAAATATTTCTGAAGTTCTCTCAAGACAAAAGTATAAGAGGAGTTTAGAATATTTTAGATCCCCTACATAAAAGATTTCACATTGCATGCCAAACACTTGCTTTTTCTTTCTACACAGTTATAAATAAAATCAAGAGTAATAGACATGCTCCAGTTTTGACTGAAATTGCTAGACTTTACATAGAATTCTTTTTGCAGAATATGAAACCTCTCTACTTTCCCCACTATGAAAGAAAAAATTTTGTGCCAAACATTCTTTGACAGTTCTAAATTCTTTTGCTAACTATTCACTAGCAAAAAGGCCTCTGGCATCCAGCTTTCTTTCTCATCTTTTAAAATGAAAATTCTTTTAGAAGCTCTTTCAGGTACTCCTGAAAAATATTACTCCAACTCAACAACCATTTAAAAGCAATCCTTTCACAATAAAACTGTATTTATCTAATGATTGGAAGTATTTACCCTTATGCCAATGTTTCACTTCTCTATAATGTTTAATAACACATTTACTGCACCCATTTTATTATAACCAAATAGTGAAAAGGGAAAAATAAGCAGAATTTTCATAGGACAGAAAGAAGTATAACCCTTCTTAACAAATAGTCACTTCCCTACTGGATTGGAAAAAAAGGACAAAATATGAGTCAAATACCTCTTCAGAAAAAAGTAGCCTGCAGGGCCTTCACAGCACGCTCCAATAAGAGTCAGGATCAGGATTGCCTTCATTTTTTAATGTCTAAAACAAAAATATATTTTCTATCTTATTTATGCTTTAATACCTTTTATCAAGGTTAAGGTATTGAGTTTCATTATTTACTAGGAAGCTTATGATTAATAATAGTATTTACTGTCCTTGGTTGTATTCAATTTTTGATAATGGCAACAGATCTGTGTGGCAAACAAATGGTCAAAATAAAGTGGCAAGACCAGATTCACAGAGCCTAACTCTGAGAAGGCAATGTATGGTCAATAGAAACAATATTTACTTCTTTTAAGGTTCTTTGTTCTTTAAAAATCATGCGAACATTATCTTTTATGTATTTGCATTTTAAAGAAGTATTTCCAGCAACCTCTGCACACAGCTTTTAATCTCTAATATGATATTTTAATATACTTCACACTCAACTTGGAAAAAGAGTTTCATTAATGGAATTACTTTTATTAGGGTCGAGGATTTAGCTCAGCGATTTCGCCACCTGCTGCGCAAGCACAAGGACCCAAGTTCCATCCCTGGTACCAAAAAAAAAAAAAGAAAGAAAAAAAGCTTACTTTTATTTCTCCAAAAATACTTCCAGGGCCTACTGATTGCAAAAACACCTAGCTTATATTGTATGTAGCATGGGCAACTAAGGAACAAATC